AACGACTGACAGGATGTCCGTTCCAAAACTTGCAGTTTTGCTTTTCGAATGGGTACGACTGATTATTGTTCGGTGTGTGTACTTAGTGAGGTCATGTACGAAGCCATCAAACATTCGTTCTTTCGAGGAACAGCGTAATTTGTCCCTGTCTCACTCCTGATATTCAGTGTCGTGATACCTATTTTCATTTGATTACAAATGACTCTCGCATTGACCTTACTTACCATGCAAGTAACTCGTCGGTACTTAAGAAAGTAGATGCTGGGGGAGTTCGGCAACTTTTTCCGCTACTCTGCTGTCAGCAATTCTAGAAAACACTAAGTTTTTCGTTACCTTGAAAATTTCGCAGCATTCAGTCGCGATAACTATAGTACTGCCAGCATAAAGTTGGAGTCGACGGAAATCGAACCGATGCATGTGAGCTGGTCTAATTCCTAGTCGCGCGCTGTTTGAAAACATGGGGTGACTTTTCACGTTCAGCCAGATTCTTGGCATTGTTTGCGTTTAAACAACAACGGCTGTAGTGTTTTTGCTCTAATCAGAATATTATTCATGTAAAGTGAGACAGGAACTTTAAGTGGGTGAGTTTCTGTAGTTTCTGCGTTACGGTGAACGAACAGTGTCGTGAGAATGCTTATGGTTGGGCCTCTGGTATGCAGTTTAGCGAATATGAGAGTTGGTTCCAGGACAGCTTCGCAAGCCCCACACTTTCGGCATATAAGAGGTACAACAAGGCAAAGAGTGTCTGGTCTTGTGCTTCGTGCTGCTCGGATATTTGCACTCTAGCAGAAGGAGCAGAAAGACCCCTAAATGTGATAACCAAGACACTATCGTCGAAACTCAAGGCCGATAGCTGTGACAGTGATTATGCCGCGGCATCCGCTGACATGCAGGTTGCTGTGCAAAATTTTAGGGACGTCCCACGACAAGCTTTAAGTCGGGCTCGTAGACTCCCTGCTAGGTTTGCTGGCAGCGACTTGGAAAAAGCTACACCAAGCGGGACGAAGTGAGTGCACCCCGGATCTCGCACTCCCAGAGCTGACACACCTAGTCTGAAAACTGCTGACCGTAAGGCTAGGTCTACTCCAGATGAGAGAAACAGGAGTGAAGCGCTCTCAGTTCCAACGATGGAACCATGCAGGCCGCAGGTCATGCCCAGTTTGGCTACCCAATCCTTGACGAAAATCGCACAGAACAGGATACCAGCCTGTTCTGAAGCTCCCAGTGTCATGGTCACTGGACCAGGCCTTCGTAAACCTTCCTTACCCGACTCTGGAAAACGGCAAGTAACTAGGCCTAAATGGCAGGCTAAGAAGCCAATAATCGAAACCGAGCTGGCTATCGTCACTTCACGTAGCAAAGACAAAAAAGAGATCTTTCACAGGTCCGTAATTTTCCACGGAGCGGAAGGAAGTAGAGACCCAGACCCACGTAGACGTTTCGAACACGACCTCGGTGAGGTACAAAGTTTAATAGACCGGCTTTACCAGAAAGCATGCCAGGAGTCATCCTACCAAGATATACAGAGTGGGAAACAGGAAAGCCATTGCTGAAAATAGGTTTCGGCTACTCAAAGTCACGTTCAAGTCAGAAGATGAGAGGAATCAGACTCCGAAGGGTGCCAACAGACTTCATGGATCTACAGTGTTCGTGCGAAAGCATCTAGCTCTCGCTGATAGAATCAAAAAGCAAGAAACGGAAGCAGAACTAAAATCCAGATTGGCAGCAGGAGACCAAGATCTGAAAGTAGTGGGTTTCGCTTAGTGAGGTTTCCGCAACAAATGATGCCGACGCCTCTATGGATAGAACAGAAGCTCAGTTAAGTATTTTCGCTGTCACGTACACAGTTGCACGTAGTCTTTTAAGGAAGTGGACTGAGCTTAGTAGTGTGATAAGCAACGAGAGCCCTATATAATTGCTATCTCAGAAACATGGTTCTCTTCTTTAGTCAGTGACTGTAAAACACACTAGGTTTCGTCCCTTTCAGAAGTAACGGGCTAGCACACAAAGGTGATGGTGTTGTCCTTTACGTTTAGAACAGCCGAACTGTAAAAGCCATCGAAACAGTTGCACATGAAAGTGGGACATATGAAATGCTGAGCTGCAGAATAAAATATAAGGGGTAGGATGTTAACGTGATCGTAATACACCGAAGCCTGATTGTGGGGCAGAGGACTTCCTCCTGGGTAACCTGACCTCTGGACAGACAAACACTGACGTCTAATTGTAGGAGACTTCAATGCACCATCAGTTGACTTGGATAGACTAGCAAGAAAATCACCAAATGATTCGTTTGACCACTGGATAGCGGAAACAATAACTTCCTTGGCGCTCATACAGCACATTAGGGCACCAACCAGATATGATCGTAAGCATGTTCCATCAGTTCTGGGCTGAGCATTCTCGCATGCAAGTGATGTGTGCTTTATTCGGCACCTAGGACCCCTGGCAGAAGTGATCACGCTGTGACCATCTTCAGATTCACAGCAGACGCCTTGTACCGGCCTGGTGCCTCAGCCGGACGCAACACATGGAATGCGAATATGGAACCCGTTAGCCTGGCAGCCCCTTCGGAGGAGTGGACGGCCACTCCAGAAGCCCAGTTGAAGGTGTGCGGTGCTACTTCAAACGCTTATGTGCAAGAGTGACCCAATCGTTCATTCCGTGGCTGTCCCGAAGGGGCGGAACCACTGTCTCGTGGATAAACCAGGAAATCCGAACCTTACTACGACGTAAGAAAAAGTGTTGGAGTCTTGCCACCCACCTCGGTACACCCGGAATGGTGAAGCATTACAAAGAATCCCAAAAAAATGTATCGCTGCTAACTGCCGGTCTCGAATATGCTTTGAAACACGTCTCGACAAGGCTGCATACTGACATCCAAAGAGGTTAGTTTCCTACATGAACTATAGAATAAGATGTGTCGTGGCATACCGCCCTCGTCAAAGGGACAGAACGTAACTGTTTGATTGGGGAGAATAGGAATAAAGAAGCCACGGTTGGATATTTTGCTGAGGTCTTCACACAGGAATCTTCTGTGGACGCTTACCTACCTAAACAGTTGGTTTTGGATACTTCAAGCAGGTTTTGCAGTCACTACAAAGAACTCACCCATATGTATCATGATTGATCTACTCCTGCGTATTTTTGTGCTCCTGTTCCGAATCTCGCCTTCTGCTTGCTTTCGTTATTCACTTTTCACCTAACCGGCCTTACATTCAAATGGAATCTAGAAATCGCATTTGTCAGTGTGCACCTTGACATCAAAACCTTATGACGAACGCACACACCCCAAGGTCATGACTGTAATGCCTGCCTTACTTCAAGAATACTGAGAAATTCAAAAAATAACTGAGCAATCCCCAATTCCTAACTGAGCCCGCTTCAACACACCTCTTATATGCCATGAATAACGGTGTCTAATGTTTAGCTTAACACTGTACATAATAGTCGTATCTCATTATCAAAATGATCAAACCTGTAAACTGGTTTGTATTCGTGTAACCTATGTGCATGAAGCATTTACTATCATTATTATTATTATTATTATTATTATTATTATTATGGTAGAAGCATCGATATCCAACAGGATGAACTCTGCGGGTGTCGACCGTAATCATGTATTTCGGACATTAAGTACTCTCGATATGGAAAAATCAACGGGACCGGATGAGCTGCACCCAGAGCTGCTCAGAGACTTGCACTCTACGTAGCCGGCCCATGACCACTATATTCAGACTGTCTCTCAGTGAATGCACAATCCCCTGTGATTGGAAGGATGCCACGCTAATACCTATCTAGAATACAGGTTCTAGGCAGCTCCCATCAAATTACAGGCCGATAAGTTTGACTCGTACTGCAATAAAAATCCTAGAAAGAGTAGCCAAGAAAGTTATCATAGCCACCTAGAAAGCAACACTGTATTGTCTCGTTCACAGCATGGTTTTCATAGAAATTTCTGTTGCTTGACAAACCTCCTTACAGTCAAAGAAAGTCTAAAGATGATAGGATACATGTAGATGTCGTTTTCGTTGACTTTAGTGAGGCGTGACAAGGTACCTCATTTCAGGTTGCTAGGAAACTGAGCAGTTTCGGAATTACTGGGAGTCTGCTCGCATGGCTAAGAGACTTTCTTGTTGGTAGGAGAAGAAGAGCTGGGATCAATTCTCAACTCTCCACTTGGAGTTGGTAGGGAGTAGTGCCGCAAAGCACAGTCCTGAACTCCTTACTGTTTCTCCCATACATAACTGAGCTGCCAAATGTCACGAAATCCGCTATGGTTCACCACGTTGATGATGCAAAACTCTGCTGAGAAATTAAAAACGATGAGGGCATATGTGCGCTTCAGGCAGAACTGAACAAGTTGTTTACCTGGTCAGAGAAGTGGCTGATACATATCAGTGCAGGTGGTGTGTGGGCATGTACTTGGGGCACACGCAGCAACACCTACGATATTGATGGGACTCCTCTACCGTCAGTATGACTCACAATGACCAAAGGACACATCGAGTTAGGACCTGAAAACCACGGCTCACTGTTGGAGTTGTAGGAGTCTCTGGGCGTTAGGTAGAACGTTTACGAAAGTAAGTGGTGACATGTCTACCATCTTGTACATATCCTTAGCTAGGTCTCAAACAGAAAACTGTACACAGGGGCTGGTCTTTGTCTGAAAGGTGTTGCACACCTCTGGAAAGATTTCAGAGGGCAGCCACTCGTATACTCTCTGCGATGGCCGGCCTCACCTATGGCCTACTTAAGGAGGCGAATCCCTTCGCTTTGTCCTATCGCAGGCAGACAGGAGATCTAATCATGCTACACATCGAAAATTCAGCGGAGAATTTTTTAGTCCGAGATTTCAACTGTTAGAAAACTTGTTCGATGTCATGAGAAAAGACACTCGCTTACATCTCCCAAAATCTATAGAAAGATTAAAATGTTGCAAGTGTCCTATACTTATACATTCATTGCAGATATCTAGTGTGGCATTTTTTTAGTGAGCTACTATAATCATTGGCTGTTCACCCGGCTATTTTGTTAAAGCTTCCTAAAATCGTGTTTTAATGGTTGGAAATTGTACTAAATGATTAGCTTTTGGATAATGTAGTTCAACAGCTACCTATGTCAGAAAAATTCTACATGTCTAAACGAAGACGTGTAAGTTTCAGTTTGTCATCTCAAATAATGTGTAGAGAGACCTGGATACCTCCAGTTCCAGTGGAAGTTCTGAATGTATCTATGACAACTCTTTATGGAAGTTTGTCGAGGACAATTATGAGTTTTTGATGAACGACGACTTGATGGAGGAATGCAAGGTACGTTTAAATACAAAAGTGTATTATTCTTAGCATGATTTGTCCATCGGTGATACTTCCTTACCGGTTGATAACTCCCTTCAGTCCTGCATCAGCTTACTTGAGGACCTTGGTGAGTGGCTTCACAGTCTTCGTCAGCGATCTCAGTTTGACAGGCCTGCTAATTTTTGGAAATACTCAGAATCGGTAGGTTACTTTTTGTGTTAGATGATACTAGTTCGGTTATAATTGGATACTATCGTATCCAGGTGCAATGTTTTCTGGCCAATGACTGTTCCTTTTATTGACTTAAATACTTTCGAAGTATTTCAAGGGAAACTCAAATCATCTGAGATGCTGGTGATACCAAACTGAGGGGGAGACATCCAATATCCAATAGTGATAGTGCGAACTTAGAAAACTGATAGTTTTGATCTCTCGTGTCTAGTTCTTGGGGCTTGGTTCGAATTGCTTGGTACACTTCTTCAGTGGATGAGGAAATCTTCTCTGCTTTCTCGCTTTTGGCTTCGGTGAGATGGAAGTTTTTCGGGTTGCAATTTGTAAAGTGATTGGGGAACTACGGGTTGCTGGGAGAATTGTGAAACTGTCTTGACTCCTGTCTGTGTAGGTATCTGAATCAGACATTGACTTTAGACCAGTCTATAATTTGCACTTGTCTATTCTTCAAATACTTGGAATGCTTCACAAATTATACTTCATTTTTGTTCACAATGTTGAATGACTGACTGAACTACATGCTGTTTTGAACATTTGGAAGGTTATGGAACCACTCACTAACAGTCAGTTCAGATATTCTTTCACTGATCTAAACCTTACCACGTTCATCCTAATGTTGACTTTAATGGCCATCTTACTACATAGTTTGTCAGTGCAGAGAGGAGTAACCTAGTGTAAGACATCTAAGGATGTGCCTAATCACAGGTTAAAAATATTCACACAAAGTACACTAAACGTTCACCACCGGGACTATTATTTCTATAGACATGTATTTCCAGTCATTCATCTAACAAGTTTTTTTGTCGGTTCAATAATTTACTGCTGATTCTCACAATTTCTATTCAGTTTATGATTTGAAGGTTAGATAACCCGGTTTGAAGCCAGAAGACGACTAGTCCAAAACTATTGATAGACAAAGGCAATTGAGAATTTCCAGTTTGAAACGACTTCATAACTCACACAGAAACGTTCTGTGTGATTGATTGCCCTTCGTACTAAAACTGCAAAGCAAGGAAACAAGTGTTTTATGAGCCACTGATCACTATTATACACTGGTGGTTAGAAGCGATTAATGAGCTGTTTCAGAATTGTGTAAAGTGGTTGGTTGTCTCAATGTGAATTTTCATCAGTCGACTTCTAATTGCTCTAGTCTTTCATTTCACTGAAACACTACTCAGCAAAATATAACAGGGAGCTACGGCCATCAAATGTGTGAATTGTCCTTACGTTTTTCTATATTAAATTCGAGTCTGCGGTTTGACAATAGAAGCTACTACTAGATATGTGTATCCCTACAGTCATATCTTGACTGAGCTGGTTAATAACACGGAAAATAATTCATCTGAGAGTCGGTTTCAAGAGCTGATTACTATGTGTAAAACCAAGTACTGTACGAAGATGATATCCATTTGTTGTTTTTGTACTCTTCTTGCACGTAGTCTAAGGTATTCTGACCTCTTGGTAAGGGAAAGAAAAGAAACATAAGATTAAAATCCTTTCCTAAGATTTCGTACTACACGATTTGGTTCCCCCTTTGTCTGCAGTACGATAATGAGAAGAAGCTCAGCTCCCAGAGTGGTTCTTTACACGTTAAGCAAGCTATCGCAAAAATCTTGGAAATGGTCATCCTGTAAACCCTTAACAGGTTTGAGCCATCTTTCAATGATGAATGTTGCCTTCTCCGTACCCTGTGTACGTGGTAACAAACCAATCTACATTCACAGGTCTTAGTCCCTTTTCTACCCAGGTTAGCAAATTGTTTAAATTAATCTGAAGTGTCCATACACCACCATTATCCCTTGATTATCGCCAAATGTTTCATCATCACTGCAGGAGATCATGGGATATATATATACATATATATATATATATATATGTATGAGAAGTAATTGAGGACCCAACACTGCACCTCACACTGTGAACTAAATTTTTAGGGGAGAGTTAGGTTCGATCCACAGCCTTTTCCTCCTGCCAACAAAGAACTCTGCGGTGCATACAAATAGACTACCATTGAGCAACCTAGAATCAGCACCTTGTTGAACGCCTCAATTAAGTCAATTAAATTTACAGGTTCCTATGGTTCTAAGACCTAACTTAACTTTCTCCGACTGTGAGAAAGTTTATGAAGCATGAAAAACTTCTTCTAAACCCTGTGGCAAACGTGACAATAGTGTGTTTCTTCTAAGTGGACCGGGTTGCTTTGTGGTTACTATTTCTAGGATTGTAACAACAGTGCTAGTCAAGCCTGCCAATTTGTAATTTCACGTATGTTATTAAAAACTACCTTGTGAACAAGAGTGCATACAGCGTTTTTCTAGTCATTTGAGAGTGCGCCTTCACTAGGTAACAGTCAAAACGTAGTAGTGAGTGAACCAGCTACGTAATGTGCAAGCTGTCTGAGCAGCCATGGGTGTAACTCGTTTGTTCCCGTTGCTTTCCCTATATCACGAATACTTATTTCCCTGAAAATGTCATTTCAGTTGATATTTACAGGGTTTATCCTGTGCGTGTCAATGCTTTACTGTTGAAATTGTGTCCATTTGGAGGAGGGGCATTCTTGGGCAAAAATCTGAACAAAGTATCCGGCTGCAGCTTCTGTCCTTCCTTATCGTCTTCAATTATCTGAGTGTTTTTTTTCAGTTAATGGGATACGAGTTATTTTTACTTAATAGTTCATCCAAAGGACGAGCCTTTTCGAACCTCTAATCGTGGCGTGAGTGTGTGGATTTCGGATTTTTTTGAGACGGGGAACTGCGGCGTCAAATATATTTCAGGCCTTTTTTGTAATGATTTAGCTAACTAACTTTGTGTTAAAATCTTGCATGTGAAATGATACGTTGCTGAATGAGGTGCAAGGGATGAGATAGTAGCTTAGTATATAGTAACCTGAATGCTAGTTGGAAGACTCCCTCTGCATTGGATAAGTTTTGGGACAGAAAATACAGATGTCTGGTTTTAGTAGACTTCAGCACAACGTCGGTTAGCTGAAGCAACCTAAAAGTATGAGGATCAGGGAATTCGTTCGATGACAGGTGAATGGAAGAATTAATTTCGCTGATTTTTATATGGAGCATATGGGTAAATCCTTATACAGTTATCGACATGCCGGATTAATTCTAGACCTAGATTCTCTCTGGCAGTTAGTGTAAGCTTCATCCAACATCTTTCAACCCAGAAAAAGTGATCATGCGGTCATCTTGAGTCCCACAGCAGTTTTATGCTAGCCCGACATCTGAGCTATTGACATTCAGTCCTTTCAGGCATTTCAGACATTACAATCCTCACATAAAAGGTTATATTCATTGCATAATTATTAAACTTGTATGCGATACTGTTTTATTTTACATGCTGTACTAAAAAAACAGACTACGGAAGTTTTCGAACCAATGTATGGTTCAGTATAACTGGTATTGCTAAACAAAGTCTTGAAACCTGAATAATCTAATCATTCCATACTGAACAGAATGTGTAGGAATAATCTAAGCACATGCCTTTTCTCGTAGATACAGGTCTACTGATGAAGTATTTGCTTTATTCAGCATAAACTGAACATTGCAACTGAATACACTGACAGTAGGTGGTGTGTTTAACGACAACTTAATGAAAACGAAGCTGTTATTTTCCTACCTGCTAACGAAATTTATTATTGAATAAACTTCATATAATTTAGCAATTGCATACTAAACTTCAGATTCACATTGGTGTTAATTTCAAGCGTTCTTTTAGTTTAACAGAAGACGTTTGGCAGCACAAAAGCCAAGTGAAGAATATTTGCATGGGAAACGACTTCACCTTTTTTGTATAACTTTAACACAGTGGTTCCATTGAGGAAGATATCACGTATTAACACTGTGGTTTTTTATTTTCAGTGATCCATTTGGATATAACTTCGAGGGAGAGATAGGTGGAAAACTAGTCAGAATCGAAATATCTTATAGGAAGGATATTTTTGGTGATAAACGGCTTTAACATCTTATGGTTTTTGTGTTAATCTAGGGAAGGTCGATGAATATCTATCTATAATGTTGTAGATCAAAGTTTAAAAAGAGAAGACATCCGAAAGTTTCGTAATATTGGGTAGTCATTAGAAATTTTATCAGGTTCATAAGATTCTAGGTACAGCCTCGAAGGAATAAGGCATCACAAGCATTATTTCTAGCTAACTAAGCGTTTATCTCATTACTAACCAGCAGCTGATTACTTTGAAACGCAAGGTAGGCGGGGTGAAGGATAGTTTGTCACTGTCCGAATAAACATCTTAGAAGGTATATAACTTGCCTTGAAGGTTTCAAAGTTAGAGCGAACATGTTCATCGACTCTTATTTAAAAGTCTCTTGAGAAATTTTTTTATTGACAATTGCACAAAATCTTCTAAGAACCAATTTATACCATATTCGGTTAGTATTACGAAACATTCGTTACTGGCATCAAACGTGGTACATATATGATCATAAAGGTGCCTTTAAAGATGATTCCCATTTTTTTAAATAGTATGCTGAACTGAAGTTTATAAACCGTGGGTGAGCAATACGTTATTTCACCATTTAAAAATCTACCATCTACTTTTGAACAAGGTGCCTACTTATCAATATCGAATATAATCCTGTTGTAGACATAAGATTCGAGTATATTTTATACAGTGGTATTTTGTTTGTGATGTGTTACTAAGTACCTCAGTGTAACAAGACACCTTGTGGTTTAAATTTTATACAAATTTGGCTCCAGACTTTATTTTCAGCTGTTTCGAGTTCAGATCTGATACATAGGAGTTTGTTAACTGCTTTTCGAGCACAAATATGGTTAGAGGAATTCAATAATTAGTTTTAGCTTTACTTAAGTTTCATGCTTGTTGACATTCATAAGTAAGGCTTGTATTCGACCTCAAGGGATCTTTCCCACACATTCAAACTCGTGTCAGGTAATTCTAGAGTCAAACATATAATCACTTGGTGGCACAAACTTTGAATGATACCCCGTACTGCTGTACTAAGTACAGTCATTGCCCACTGAATAGTAACTTATTATCATTATTATTTATCCAATGGGTTCCTGGTGGAACATACGGCCTCAGTAGCACGCCTCCATTGAAGCCCGTCCTCTGCAGTCTTTTGAACCCGGCTCCATGACTGCCCACAAGTTTTCATTTCTTCTTTACATAATCTCCTCCATGTCACCCTCGCTTCCGATGCCAAACTCACCGTTCACTCTTTGGATTCCACTCGTGGGCCTGGCCTGGCGCCTGATGTCCCTAGTCGGCCTTCTCAGTGTATGCCTAATCCATCTCCACTTTCTTCTGCATATTTGTTGGGTGACAGGTTCTTGGTTAGTTCGTTCCCAGAGTTCCTTTTTGCTTACTCTTTCTGGCCATCTGATTTTCAGTATTGAGTGGGCGTAGGCGGCAACTATTGATGAATGTCTGTAGTTTATTGGAAATGCTTTTCGTGACACGCCAAGTTTCTGAACTATATCGGAGCACTTACTGACTTGACATTAGTGTTGAAAATCCAGATCTTGTTCTTTGTAACTAATATTATGTTGTTTTTTTATGGGTTTTGACAATATTCCATTGATGTTGATTTCAATATGGTTTCTCATAACTCGATAACATATATTGAATAAGTGATTCCAAAATGAAAAGCAACCAACTTTTTCATACGAAAATTACTGAGTTAGTTATTAGTATAACACAAAGTTCGTAAGCAAGGTAAGATTGTAGGATAATAATGTAAAAGCAACAAAATCGTTTTGAATATCAGTGTAAAATCTACCATTAAGCCTGTGTTGTCAATGGATTTCATTTTTTCTCATATATATGGGCTTAACTAATATTTTTACAATTTTATTAGCAAGACGTGAGCATATTGTTGTTTTATGAACCAATATTACTACTACGCAACAGCATATATTGTTATATTATCATTTCCTCATTGAGATATCTTCATCCTTCCAGATTCTTGCGAATGAAATTCAAAATTATGAAAAAAGAAAGCACAATATTTTCAAATCAGTACTATCTACCATTCAAGATAGATTTCAAGGATTTGCATCTTCCTCAGAGTTACCGGATTTTCCTATTGCTTCAAATCAAATTCCCAATACAATGGATCAAAGGTCTAATCAACTATTGCGTGCACTTGTTGAATTTCAACGGGAATGGGATGCTACTGTTCACCAAATTGCACCAATTGATCCCCTAACTGACCAAACCAGGTTTATGAAAGGTAAGCTGTTACTGAAGATGTTTCAAATATTTCATGTCAGTGAATATGCAATATTTCCTTGTTATGAGCTAAAATAAGTTTGAAAAATGCAACTTCGTTACTGAATTCTTTTTATTTGGCCTTAATACACCTCAGATTAGCTACCTTAAAAATATTTGGCATAAATCTTTAACCACAAATGAATTTACAGTGAAGTTACGCGCGTACTAGTGCATAATCAATTATATTTGAAGGTTTTGTTGGTTGTTACACTCTAGCATAACTTCCATGTTCAACTGCATTAAGATTTTGTATATATTTAGATAATAAGGAGGTCTGGCAATAACGTTGATTTCTGAAATTTCGTTCCTTTTAGCTTATAAATTTTTTTTCTTCATACAAATCCGCCTCCTAGTTAGTTGACTATGTCACTTTGTTTTGTAAACACACGAGCATACTGACATTTGAATTGCATTGCAGTATACTGATAGTTCGAGAAAAATAGTTTTCTTCCTTACTGCTTTGAATCTCAATTGAAAATGAATTAGGTTAGTATTGAACTTCTGGTTTTATGGTTATTAAATACTGCTGCATCTTTGATAGATATATGCTAAAATAGAGAAAGCTATTACTTCGAACTTTTTTCCAAAATAATCAGAGATTTTTCGAATCTTGTCTACTTTTGTTGTAGATGTGCGTTTATTTATTAATTGCTAATTGACACTTTGTTGTTCACAATTTCTCCTGAATCATTTTCTGATTGTATTAGGAGACCAGTTATCAGTATTATTTACTAGTTATGAAGGAGATGACACAAGTTTCATCGGTAACCACTTCTATTTCTGCCTAGATGACGAGTTGATGAGCTAAACTCCACACATAAATAACTCTTCGTATGACACTAAACGAGAGATCATAATGGCGTTATAATGCACAATGCAGAAGAAACTGTGAAATAAGGAAGAATTACCTTGCAATGCTGTCACCTTCACAGCTAAACAAATATGTTTTTGTACATTCGGGAGTCTGATCACAACATTTAATTAGTATGTTTGTAAATGAAAGGAGTTCCGTTAACAAATTTTTGGATGTAATAGACTAGAGACTAAGGAAAATGTATTGTTAACTTGAAAATGAATAATGCACATCGGCATCTTATCTGGCATAAACTATTGTTGCAGTAATGTGACTCCTGAAACCCATAATGCTGTGTAGAGCTATTGGTTAGAAACCAGTAAAGTTCATTTGTAGCTTTTGTTACTCAAGTTGAAGTGATGCACGCACTAAAGAGCTGCTTCTATTATTAGATGTCAAGCTGATCAACTACCAAAAATAGGTCGTTTACATAGACGTCAGTCTTTTCTGACTACTCATTTTCCGTAGTATCTCTCCACAGTCGGTTATACTTTCATGACATGGATTACACGCTGCAATTTTAACTGGATGGTTTCAAAAGTTACATCTGATACATCGGATATGGAAAGCTTTTCAATTTCCCATCTGTGAGACAGTTCGTAAATTGGTGACTCATTAAGCTAATCTTAATTGAATTCTTATTTTTTGTAAGAAGTTCTTTTTAAAGGTGGAATGTTTCTACTTTAGAGGTTTGTGTACTACCAGTTGATTGTGATTGCAAGGCAGTTTTTATCATTGACTTAAATCAAATAGAAAACTATTGAAAATCGTTTAGAGGTGAACTTTTCAGAAATGCTGGTCCATGACCCTATAGGTGATAGATTTTGGGAGCATCAGGTCACATAATGAGTAATATATCACTCAGTCAGTGTCAGAATCGAGTGATCAATGTTTCCTAACTGGTAAAAAAACGGTTGTTCAATGCTGTCTAGTTTCCAACTGATGTAAATCCATGAAAGAAACTGTTTTGAAAAAGTTTCTTAAACTTTCCATGATGTAAATTGTGCCCATTTCAGTAGTTAGTTATTACACAGTGTTAAATATTGTTATAATGTACAGAGAATCGTTTTATAAACCATTCATATAATCCTGTAAAATGTTCATTGTTTACATTCGATACTTTGTGTTGAACACTTTAATGAATATCAAATCGATACCAATTCAGCATAAAAGATAACAGTATTATATTCAGTAAGCCTATGATTTATAAATGTGTGTATAATTTGCGTTTGTGTTTACTTCCACTTTGGCCTAGTTAATCAAAGAACGTTGAACGAGTGAATCATCATTCCCCTTTTATTGAATAACTTTTAACCTATATTAACTTTGTAACAAGATTTTCATGTCGTTGTTACAAGTGAATCATACTTTTGGTTCATTGAAAATTCAAGTAGTACAGTACATTATTAAACCACTGTATTCATAGATTTTCTTCTAAAATATTACCTAATCAATGCATGATATATATTTGTTAAAGCTGACATTTTTTATCATCATAATAACTAGACTACTGAAGAGACCATATTTAGTAGGTCATGTTTGTCTATATGGTTGTATTTTGTTGTTGTTGTTGGTTGTTGTTGGAGGGTGTGAAATAAACAGATAAGTTGATAACTCAGCTTACAAACCGTATAGTGTAGGTTATTATGATGAGTGTCTACCAATAAAGATTCACCAAACTCTAATTATGGTTAGTAGAGAAAAAAATTCTTTCGTTTCACTTATTATCTATCCATTTTGTACCAGTAAATGTGGAGGTATACAAAGCGGAAGCCAGTTATCGTTAGCTTTTTGATTGGTTACGGCATAATAAATCAGTAAATGACAATATGTTACTTGAAATTTCAAACATCTAAGTTGAACTAAAATGAGTATATGGTTACCGAATCACAGAGTCAAGTCTTAACTACAGGCTACTTTAAAGGCCATCCTGGCAACTGCTAAAATAACCCATCAGATTTTGGTAGTCTGGCTAGATATGTAGTTTTTCGTAAAATAGAGAAGCTTAATTAGTTATCTCAGTAGTTGCTAGGGTGCTCCTTAATGTCACTCTTAATTACTGGACCATAAATTCAGAAAAAGTAGTAAATTATTAGTTCGATGTTAATTTTAAGGTTGTTTTGAAGAAAATATCAAGATCGACTGAAGAAGCCACTAAAAATTATGTTGTGCTAAATAAGTATTTTATTTTCAGAAATAAGCAGTCTTAAGATTTGTAGGCATTAAGTTTATCACCCTATAGCTATGAAGCGAATATCCTACGGGTCTAAAATATACTCCTTTTTGAGGGATTGTCTAAAGGGATTTTATGTTTAGAAAATATTTCAGTATGCTTCATCGCTATGCTTACAGACTTATGAATTCAAACAAGCTGATGAAAAAAAAGAGAGAATGAAAAGATACAAATCTTTAATGAGAACTTCGACTGTCTCTATAAAAGACCTAATATGATTTACAACAGATTTGTGTGTATCTGCGTTGGGTTTTGACCATGTGTAATAAACAAAATTCTACATTGATTGGTCGAGGGAGAGCTACCGAATTCCATCGATCATATTTGAAATGTGACCATCAAGCTAGGAGGCTCAGCATGGTGGTGCACATTGACAGATGTTAGGGATAATCGGTACGATACGTTGGACCTGGGTTGTATGCTTATTGTGGCACTTGTCAGCAAGGCCTATCTGCAACGTTGATGGAACTGATGCCCCGCTTGAGATTCGAACCCACATCACCTAGTGTTGTAGTCAGTGACGTTACCACTGAGCTATTCCGGACGATCAATAGAATTCGATCAGTACTGAGGACTAGACAACATGAAATTAGTTGCTCTCCCGCGACCAATTAGTGTATGTAACACAGACCTACGGGACATCAATCGCAATCCGAATACATCAGTGGTAGCATCGCTGACTACAACACTGGGTGACACGGGCTCGAATCTCAGGCGTGACATCAGCTGTGTCAAGGTTGTAGACACACTTCATTGACGAGTGCCAACGAGCACGTACCCTAAGTCCAAGGTTTTCTTCCGATTGCCTCCAACTAACTGAAGAAGACTGTTTGGATTAGTGTATAAATACTAGACTGAAATATACAAGAATAACATTAGTTGCTAAGGCAAATTTAGGCATTTTCTAGCGGCATATTACAACTGGATTTCACGACTGGAATAAACAGCTATGTCCAACACTCTTTTATCTTCAACTATTGTTCTTCTGTCAATTGTTTTTAAAAGTGTAAATGGTATTCAGAATATACGTTTACATTGTTTATAGTTTAAAAGCATGTCATCGATAGTGCAGTAAACTGTGAGGAGTGAGAAGATGGGCATACGCTAGCTGGATCGATGAAAAGAGCCTAGAAGATTTGGATTTCGCCGGTGATTTATGTTTAATGTCGCACAAACTCGAAGATCTGCAGGCGAAAACTTACAAATTGACAGAAGAGGGAGGGCAGCGGAAACAGGACTTCAAGTGAATGTAGAGAAGACGGAGGTGGTGAGGATACCGAACCAGCAACAGCCACCACAACAACGAGCACCAATCACCATTAAAGGGAGAAACCTAAAGGAAGTAGTCTCTTTCACCTACCTAGGCAGCATCGTTTCAACTACAGGTGGCTGCGCAGATGGGTACGTGAAAAACAGGATCGCAAAAGTGAGAAAGGCTTTCATTAACCTGAAATCAGTGCAGAGATGTACTGCACTCAGCACAAAGAACAAGATCCGATTTTCAACACTAATACCAAGTCAGTTAGTGCTCCTATATGGTTCAGAAACTTGGCTTGTCACGACAAGCACTTCCAACAAACTACAGACTCACACCACATCAATAGCTGCCGCCTACGCTCAATCGATACTGAGGATTAGATGGCCAGAATAATAAGAATAGGCAACAACAAACTCACTCCAACTGGCAGTGAACCAACCAAAACCTATCACCCAACGGATATGCAGAAGAAAGTGGAGATGGATTGGATTAGAAATACCCTGAGAAGGCCGACTGGGGACATGAAGCTCCAGGCCAGGCCCTTGAGTGGAATCCAAAGGGGGAAACGACGAGTTTGGCGTCGGAGGTGAGGGTGACATGGAGGAGATTATGTGA